GTGACTGACAGCAGGCCATCCCTACTATGCTTGTGCTTCTTTGCTGAAGCAACATCCGCCCTGCTCCCTGGCATCTTGATAGGACTGCAAAGTCTGTTAGTTTCCTATTTATCTTAGCATGCCTTGTTGTTAGTCATTTGCTCTTCTGTGAAGTACGTTGTGTTAAAGTGTCACAGATAGGATCTGGGACCTTTGGGAGTGAGTTGGCTGATAGCTATGCTCTCTATGGCTACCACTAGCAGGCTACTGAAATGCTGCTGTCCAAACTCTGGGGATGATCTTTAATTTTAGTTATATTGTATCCATTTGAATTTGCACGGCTACATATGAGTGATTAATTCATAGATCAGGTGTCCAAAGTGCACAGTGAGTGCGGACAGGTCCTTCCAAAATCCAGAAAGACTGAGAAGAGAAGGGTGTCTTGTGAGTTCTAGCTGGGCCGGTCGGAAGAGGAAGCACTAACTCCACCCTGTCCTTCCCATGGCTGCTGGCCCAGGGGCCCAGCAGAGGGCACTGTCACTGCTGCTTTCTCTTCACCTGTGACTTTTATGTACCCATTATAACATTCGCTCCTATATGGAGGAGGTAAAATATAGATTGTTTCACAATAGTTTGTGATGTCCAGAATTAAATAAAACCGAATATGACTTAAATTGTGGGAAATTAAATCTCTGGCCTAGTTAGATTTTCACAATCAAAAATACCTTATTTTACAAAACAAACCAAAGCTCCCTTGGTATGAAATTTTACAGATTAATTCCTTTGTCATTGGTAACTTCTAGGTGAAAATGGAATCCCATTCTGTTCCATAGAATACAAGGAGCAGATTCCATTGAGTTTGTTCCTCCTGCCCCGGCATTCCTACAGTAAATACAAAATAAGCAAAGCCACAGAGTCATGTGAATGGAGAGCAGTAGAATGAGAGAGACTGCGGTTAACAAATATGACTGCAGAACTTTACTAACAAGTGGACCTAAGTTCAGCTAGATAAACACAACCAGTTAGGTCTCAGTGTCAACTACCCTCACTTCACAGCCTCAGCAAACACCCAAGCCATCCTTCTAGTGGGCTCTGAGAAGCAAGTGAAAACTGCCACACTGGATACAGACCCAGATAATGGGAAGACAGTGAGACGGGAATGCAGCAGTGCTATGCCAACATCAACAAGGCTTTCCCTCTCAGAAATCACAACCGTTACACAATCAGACCTCTTGAGTAATCATTAACACTCAGTGTTACCCAAGAGCCAATATGAATAGAAAGAAAGGAACAAAGTGAGTCTCTAAGTGAACAATCTTGCTGGGAACAAAAGGCCACATAATAGGACTAGGCCAAACCACATCATACCATCTCTCCTGTACAAAAGACAATGAAAGGAAGGTGGCACAGGAGAAATTCCAAAGGAGCTGTGAGGGCAGCACACAAGGCAGAGAAGACAGGGGGCCTCAGGTTGGAGAAGAACTGGACTGAGATGCAGAGGGGAAGAAAAACATTCTAAAGAAGGGTACGGGAAAGGATGAGCTCAAAGGGAGACAGTGTTTCGGGTCTATTAGGTGGATGTAAGATGGCCAGGTTGACCTCAGCAGTTATCTTTTTCTCTAGTGCCTTTTCAACCAGATGTGCATAAAAAGTAATCATATCCAGGATTTACTTAAAAACTCTATTCTTGGTTACTCTAGCTTACTCAGCCTTTTGTATTTCATAGCAACCAATTTTAGGTGCCCCAAACAAGTGCTAAAAATTATTGCCAAAATACTATAAAAAGCAAAATGCTAAGAAAGAACAGCGTCTGTGCGCGCACACACAAATGCTAAGAATTCTAGGGAACTAAGAGGAATAATAACACCAGCAGAGTCCTCTGTTCTTGTTCATTTACTAGGACAGGCCATGTAACTTCAGGAAGATCAGAAAACAGACTCTGGGATCAAGAGAAGTATTAACATTGGAGGTCATTCCGGGGAGAACTGGGGTTGGGAAATGCAAGGGTGTAGGCAGGAGTCCATCATACAGAGCGCACCCTGAAACCCACTCTGGGTTCAGGAGATTGCAAAACTCTTCCACAGACAGGGAAGGCTGAGGGAGAGCCATAGCCTTAAGGAGACAGGGAGAAGTGCCCTGACACCTTGTATGGTACCATGATGGCCACAAAAATCACACCGTTTCCAGTTCTTTTTACCACCCACGCAGTAAGTTTACTCTTGTTAACAGCATCTTTATTACATGTATCTATTTGCTATGTATTTATCTGGGGAGTGCATGTGTGCTGTGGCTGAGACCTGTCCGTCTGTGTGTGGGGGTATGTGTCTCTGTATGTAGTATGTGTGTCTCTGTGTGTGGGGTGTCTGTGTGTATGGTGTGTGTCTCTGTGTATGGACTGTGTCTGTGGGTTTGTTCAGCTGACCTGTCAACTTAGTATAACTAGCAACTTTACTTTGTTCATTTATGATACAGAAGACATCATAGTTACAGAAAACAGTAACTAACCATGTTTGCTGACTGATATCCTGCAAACTATACAACAATTACTAAGATCAAGTTTTGATCAAAACCAAAGTTAAGAACAATGGTCTCAAGGTTGCAGATTCCTCTGCGAATAAAGATGGATGTTGGCCCACATTTTATATGTAGGCATTTCTAGTCACTTTGATTCTTGTTTGCACAAACACCCAACTAAAAATTAAGTTAACCATCCTAATTGTACAAAACAAAACAAAACAAAAAAAACCCCTCCAGAATTCTGAATTTACTTAAAAGTCTAAAACTCCACGAAAACACCTGGAGTGTCTAACACTGTGAAATAGTTATAAGCATTTGAGTTTTCTTTTTTTTTTTGGTTGTTTGTTTGTTTGTTTGTTTTTTTGAGATAAACCGTGGTAAACAATACTCTAGCATCTCTGTGAAAATAATACTTAAGAAGCAGGAGTATAACTAAGCCCCCAAAATTACATAAAAAATACTACTTTCCAGCCAGCCCCAACAATCAGGTTAGTTTTATATGACTTGCATGGTTTTTCCCAGTTTTGTTCACATTCAGACACCAAAAGTTCTTTGTTTATCTGGGTCTCAGATCTTTCCAGTGACACTGAGGATAAGTTGTCTGTACTGACATGAAGCTTTTAGATTTTAGTCTGGCCTACGATAAGGGGAAATATACAAGTGGGGAATAACTGAGAACACAAAACTGAACTAAAGTGAGAAGAAAAGAGGACAAGGCAGACCTATGAGGGCAGGCAGGGGCTGTGGGCCTGGTGGAGGCCACCCCTGCAGAGGGCGCTAATGAGCAAGTGAGGCAGACACTTTAATTATTTTCTCACCAATTATAACTGGAAGGCACACTGGTGGTGACTAATAACGAATATCTACATTTTCTAAAAGATAAGATAAATTTTCAAGGTGAGATATGTGAGCTCCAGAAAATATCTGTAAAAAATACAAAAATTTTCAGAAATTCCTATCAGTCTGCAAAAATAAAAAGTATCTAAAACTCTGAAGCCCTGGGCCAGTTTACTCGGAAAAGGCTCTTATACATGGAATTCAGGGTTAGAAAAGCAGTGTGACTGGGTCTGCACGCTCCACAGCCCAAGCCACTGCCCAGCAGGGCGGGACACCAGATGTCAGCTCCACTCATCTTCATCTTTTGCTGCATATATAAACATAGTGGATTCTGGAGATAAGCTCACAGGTTTATTAAGTATGCAGTGAATATTCTGCATGCATGCTGGGAATTAAATACAAAACCAAAGATTCAGAAGATGATAGTCTTGTGTTAAATACTATAAATACTGAATTAACTCTTCAGAATTATAATATTTAGTAATTTCTGACATGAAACATAAAAACAATTACGCTTTTAACACATAAACCTATAACGTATATGCATTAATTATTAATTTATATTTTCTTTCAACTGTGATGCATAATCTCACCCAAACAGTGCTGATGGGGTGGTGGCCATCTCATCTCATTAGCATGATGATAAGCCTGTAAGCACATGGAGTGGCCAGTAGAAAAAAACTCAAACAAATAGAAACAACTTTTCACGTGATTGTGAAGACAGAGCAAAAAGGAGTCAGGTGAGTCACCCAGCAATGAGAGGTTCCCACCAACCTTGCTTTTCAGTGGTACCTACTCTACATTGCAGGCTCCTGCAGAAATGAACTCAGGCCGCTGTAGTATGTGGCTCATTTATGTATGAGATAAAACACATTCCCAGATGCCCTGACCCACAGCAGCTCTTCTTCCTCCTTGGTTGTGCTAATCTCTGTATAATCCAGGCCTTCAGAACTCTCAGCCCAGGGCCCAGCTACCCAAAAAGACTTCCCTCTGCTCTCCTCCTGGTGCATTCTGTCCTCCCTGTGTGTGGGTACAGCAGGTGTGTAGCATGGATTAGAACCCACCCAAAAGACGACTCATCTGTTTACAGGCTTTTGCCAACCAACTGTGGGCTCCTTCTGGGAGGAGGCTGGGCTTTAATTCAGTGGGGATGAAGTAGGGATGAGGAATCAGTCAAGTCATCGAAACAGGACCTGTAAGCCTGATGCAGCAAGCTACAATTCAGTGGATACATCTATTGAGTTCCCAAAATGGGAGTTGACAATGAGGCAGGGTGTCAGAAAACCTGGCTCTCGGGCTAAAGCCAATTTAGGAGCCAATCACTGCTACACAACACCCTGGGTTCCCAAAGGCTAACCTTAATCACAGCCTAGCTGCTAATTTAAACGTGGGCTTTTGGTAAGCTTTGGTACTTGATTAGATCAGCAAAGCCCTGCACCTCCCTAGGAAATGGGGGTGGGGACCTGCATGATAAACCACACCAGGCCACACACCTTGAGTCCAAAGGCTGCATCCTCCGAGGCCAAGACTTCAACCTGCAATCATAAGGAGAGAAATAATTTAGGCACTATGAAAAACCCCTGCAAGGGCAGCCCTAGAAGCTCAAGCCAGGTGAAATGGTGGAGGAGTGGCCAGTTGAAGCTGGCTCCTGAGAGGAGGTCAGGAGGGATTCTGTGAGTCCCCACAGGGCAGTGTGCTTCACTGTGAGGACCCACTGCCCTGATGTGCTGGTGGTGCAAGTCCCTCAACAGGCCCATATGTCACACTCCAGGCGCTGTGCAGGCTTTTTAGTCTGTGATGGACAGGACAGTGAGGGAAAAGTATGCTCAGAGAGGCAGCTGCTATGCCGGTCGCCTTGCTGCTGCTAGTAGCTTCTTGTCCTGCTCACACCAGAATGGGCAGAGTGGATCTCTGGAATGCTGCAGAGCAAGAGTTCTTGAAAGCAGAGCTCTGGTAGAGGCAGGCAGAGCCTAGGCAGCCAGTTGTAAAATGATGGCAAAACTTCAAAACTGGGTGTCAGTCTTATGAGTAGAAGACAGAGTTCATTAACATGAATTTAAAAGCTGCATGGAATGAGATGTGTATTGATAATTACTGGGTTTTTAAACATAATTATTCGGCTTGGTGTGTAAAGTTCTTAAGTTAGGCTACTAAAAAGAGCCTATATGAAGAAAAGGAGCAAGCAAAGAAGGAGAAAGAGCCAGGTGCTGGGCATCTGGGGAAGGCTGTGAAGTATAGGCGAAACGAATCTGTCACTGGCCTGAAGCACAAATGTACACAGGCCTCACCAACATTTGCTAATGACAGCAAAGCCAAGGAAGACTATCCCAGCAGACTGACTCCAGCAAAAAACTGAAAGGGTTAAAGAGGAACCACTGATTGAGATCACAGCGTTTCCCCCCTCCTCTTCCCCCTGCAGAGAGATGGCAGACTGGTACAGGGCTGAGAAGATGAGCAGCTACTCTGTGATGAAAACCATATGTTGCTGATATCAAATATGATTTTAGGCTAAAGACTGAGATGTTGAATCAACGAGAGTAGAAAATCATGGTACGATCCACTTACACCATTTCTGTTTACACTCCGATTTCCAAAGCTAACTGTTAGATTTAGAAACTAGCTCTGGCTCCCCCTCCCACACATGCACAAAAGCTCGCATCTCTTAATTTCCTGAGGCCTGCTTTCTACAACTCCAGGTTACTGACTTCAAATATTTTTACAATTACAGCTCCTAATTAACAGTGAGGACCTCTGCTCACAGCCTTGGGGGGGGGGGGGGGCGGCTGCCAGCTTAATTACGGCAGGCTTTCTACAACATTGGCTTGTGAGCTGTGATCTTATCTGCAGTCTCCTTCCTCAGTTAGGACACTCACCCTGATGTGGGTATCTTCACATATATACAGTTACTGCTGAGTATATTAAAGCCGAGACTGGCATCCTCAGAGTGAATTCTACATATCTGAACAGATTTTAATGGTCAAGTAGCAAAAACGCAAAACAAAACAAAATATAAAAACACAATGGCAAATGGAACTCTGTTTAAAGATACAGCTTTACCACATTTGACATCAGGAGGTGAGAGCAGCTTGTCCGTGGAGTTTAGAGCTCTCATGTGACTGTGAGCACTGGCCGGCTCCAGCCTTCAGCCTGCTTCTCTCTATTTCAAAACTTGTTTCACCTAAGCAACTTCACAGAACTGTTTTCTTCCAAGTGCTATGGTTTGAAAACATGTGCACCCTGCTTTGCTGTCCTAGCATTCTCTGTTCTGTAAGGCTTTAATGTTAGCACCCACAGAAAAGGGCCTATTTAAAAAACAGGAGATTAGCTTCAGCTCACCATGAAGAGAACAGCAATGTCACAGGAAGAAGTTCCTGCTGCTCTCAGAGCATGTCTCAGCTGGAAGGAGTGAGCCCCTCTAGTGGGAACAATGGAGTATTTCAAGCTTCTCCTCACTTCAGGTCAGTAAACTCACCAGGAACTGGCCTCACTGTGTGTTACTTCTGTCATAAGCTTGAAAATAAAATTTCAGAGAAAAACTAATAACTGTTTTGTATCTCATTATCCAGAAATTACCTATATACAGACTGAAGCATAGCTGCATCGATCTGATACAATGGTGATAACTTTAGTTATCAGCCAACTAACATCATATTTAACTTGGCTAAGAAGCAATCTTAACTTTAAGTTAAAGCAAAAAAGTGTGTACTGAAAAACTGTACTACATTTTCAGTAGAAAGACTTGAGCAAACCGGAAAGGAGTGCATTAGTACTGAAATGTTGATTCTTCCTATCTGCTGTCATCTGCACCACAATTCCCCAGAAGAAACACCTTCCACATTTATCAACAGGGCCTTTCCCGGTGTTTGATCCATGCAAGGTTTGTGCTTATTATCTCAAAACGGTCAAAGCACGGAGCTTCATATAAACACCCAAGTGTAAGGTATGTAAGCAGCCTTATGCATTCCTTTAAAAACCCAGGATCAGAGGAGAAGCTAACATCACCCATGCTGCCTTTCTTTTCTGACTTCAGTTTGTGGAGGTCTAGAACTAGTGTCATGTAATCACCAGTAAGAAAGCTACAGGCTTTACAAAGTGAAATTAGTGTGCAGTGACCAACGTCCTCCACAGAGGAATGGATCTCATCGTCAGTGAGGGAGAAAACTTTCAAGAGTTCCTCCAGGACAGAAGAGGTGTGTGGAGAGAGGCTTAAGACAACAAAATAGGGCTGAGGAGCTGCTCTTCCTCACGATCATCAATTCCCAGCACACAAAACTGTCTGTAACTCCAGCTACAAGAGAATCTGACACAGGCATAAATCCAGGTAAAAACCCCATGCACATTAGCATGCATACATACATACATACATACGTACGTACGTACGTACATACGTGTACACACACACACACACACACACACACACACACACACACACACACACACACACACACA